GCGATAAAAACTATTTTGTTGTAATTTATGTCTAGAATGATGATAAGCTCTGTAAGCTCTGATGATAAACTCATTTTTACTTGAAATGGATTAATCTAACAGCCTATCATACAGCAGAAATAAACGTGACAACAGCCAGTCAGTACATGTCACTAATAAGTCTGCATGTTCTGCGTGTCTCTGTGTGCATGAGTGGCACAATTTCATCTGATACACAAACTCAAAAACACACGTGACACCCAGGGCAGGATTTATGGGGCAGGGGGCCCCTGGGCTTGAGGTTATGTTTGGGCCCCATACCTATATTACAAATGCCCTCAACTAGAACATTATTATAGAGTAACACAAAATACACAAAAATTCAAATATGCTTTCAGGTTCATATACTGTATACAATTAATAGGCAACATGTCTAGCCTAGTCAAAGTTTAGATGTAATATTAAATAGTCACTATAATACAATAAACAGGATGTGATCTCTCAGTTGAGAGATCAAAACCCTGAAATAACACTGAGCAGAAAAAAACAAAGAGATGTATTATGAAAATGTAGTGTCATATCTGTGTCCTTTTATGTCAGATTCTTAAATTTAATAAATTCAATCTGAATAAAAAAAACATGTTGACTATTAACAATCAAATGAAATCACTATAAACAAAATCCATAGATGGATTTTGCACAAGTTATGTTAAGTTTAAATACAAAATTTTAATGTAGAAATATTAAATGATTGCAAAAATGAAATAATGAGCTACTTTTTAAAATATGAAACTACAACCGCCAGTAGGTGGCAGCAAGTGACTGTCTTAATGAGTAAGTTGAATCCTTAAATCAACTGATTTGTTTAAAATGCTAATTCATTTAACTTAGCAAACGACTGTACTTATAGCCTGTTTGAACCATTTACTGGTCCGTGTAATGCTGAGAAAAAAAACACTGTGTTGCTCGGAGACGCATTGATGGGGCAAAACAGAATTTTGTGTCCTTTATGTAACATTATTTATTAAAATGCAAGGTTACTTGAGTCAGAAACAATGAAAACAATAACTTTTTCTTGAGTTGTTTGCGATACGGCTTCATGTGCGCGCGCTTTGGATGTGACCGTGAGCGCCCAGGAAAGTAGTTTGGATAGCGCAAGTACCGAATGGTTTAAAAAGACGTGCAAATGATACACTTTTGTGATGATGCAACACTGACCCGATTAGGCAAGTGACAGTCCTGTCAGCTGAGCG